ACGGATCACATGCGTGATAATTACCAGGACCAACTTATCAGCACTTTTTTTTGGAACAGAAACAAAAATAAAAACACCATAAGGCATTCCTTAGCATACATTTTGCAGACCTATGCACCTTATGTGAGAAATAAATATAATTGTGCATATGCATGTCAGTCAACAAGAGCAGGGCTGCTACAAAACAGAAAATGAGTGAGAAGCCAATAGTGTCCTCACCAACCAGGCCACCATCCCACCATATCTGAATAGGGTGGGCAGAGTAGTGTGCTGATACTGGTCCACTGGCAATCCCAGAAAAAAGTGAGGTGATGAAGCAGGTTCAGGGTCCATCCTGGGAGTCCAGTCAGGAGCAGCAGGAGATGGAGCCAGACACAGGGCTGGAGGCAAGACTCAAGACAGAGGGTCCGCTGGAGACAGAACTCAAGACAAAGTACCTACAAAGTAGGTCAAGGTCCATGCAGAAAACAAGGCCGGAGACAGGATTTGAGACAGGTACACCAAAAGCATAATTCAGGCAAGGACTAAATGTCCAGGCCTGAGCTTAAATGGAGCAACTGAAAGCAAGGACCAGAGAGTACATGGGTGAGGGTCCAAGGCTGGTCAGGGCAATTAAGGCCCAGTGGTGCACTCAGAGCCCTCACAGTGCAGTCTGTAACTTGAGTAAAGATACATCTGAAAAACTGGGACCAAGCCAGGCCATACAATTAGTTTCACAAAGAAGGATGAAGTTTTACTGCACTGTGACTTTAGCCACATTTTACTGATGAGCAAGGAAGGTCCACATCAATGCCTACAAGCTTTGCAGAAGGTCTGAAATCTGCCTTGGGGAAGAAAAGCTTACACTACTTCACATTCTAGAACCTCTCTTAGGAAAGTGAGCCTTTGGAATGAATCATGCAAGGGAAACAGCAAACTGCTGCAGAAATACAGACAGTTGATTTTTCTCAATATCAGCCAGCCATGAAGATGAGGGTATTCACGTAACTTTACCAGTGAGTGTGAGCTGGTGCTACAACTAAGTGTTTAGTCAATATTCTAAATGCATTTAACAAAGTGAAGAGGACAACACTTTGAATGGATAGTTTTTTCCTAACATAATGAATGAAAGAAACTTCCTTTCTTCTGGATGTTATAATGCACAGAAATATGTAGTCTACAAGTGGGAGGAAATTGAAGGGATCTAGACTGGTAAAACAGATTTTAAAACTGTCACGTGAAACTTAAGTGACATGTGAGCATATTAAAGCAGCTGGTATTTAGTCTAGTCGGCCATTTTGGATTGTTATGGGTTTACTGTGTAAAGGAATGGAATTTTCTGTAATTCCTAAATTTCTTCACTCTTTCTATGCATTGGTTTTACAGCACTGGGATGCCAAAATACATCTGTCTCTCACTGCCCTCTATGTTCATGAACATCGTCACTAAAAAACAGGCAGGACTGGCAGATAAGGAGACTTAGTGTATGGGAATTTTCTGATATATCTAGCCTGGGCAATCTATAGGACTCAGCAATTTTTTTCATTCCAATCTAGACTTCCCCAAAAGATTAAAATTAAGTGGTGGAGACAATAGGTATAGTTCCCTATGAATCATTGCTAGATTCCGGACTTCAGAAGGAGTTTTGATGTCTCTAAAATGCATTAAACAGAGAGACAGCAGAAGGAGGTAGAATGGTAAAGTTTCTTGTGTCTTATGGACAAATAAGTATCTACAATGTTTCATCATAAAGAACATTTAAACTCCTTCCAAAAATGTAAGCATGCATCAATCTTTTGTACCTCCTGTTAAGTGTTTGTCTGACTCTTTCTTGGTAATCCTGAAGCTGGTAACTGTAATGTTCTTCTCATTCAGATTCCCACTGCACCTCAATCTAATTCCTGTGTTCACCTTGGACCCAAGAGAAAGCATTTTCATTTGTTCTCCAAGTAGCCATTCTTTTAGACAAGGTAGACTTAAATTGCTCTTCACAATGTCTTGGAAGTTGGTCAAAGGTCATTATCTTACCCTAATGCATGTATTCATAAAGCCTCGTAGTTCATTATCCTAACCTGGAAGAAGAGTAGCCAGAGTTGGTTCTTCTTCCAAAAAGATCTGTTCTCCTTGGTTCTGCTTTGTAGGTTGTCTGGAGCTTTTCCTAGTTACAGTTATAAATTAGGACAGTGCAGGAGAAGTACAAAAATATTCAAAATCTTCAGATGAAACTTTACAAATCCATGTATTTCAAAGCAAATGAAGCAAAAGTCTGAGTAAATGCAAGAGTCACTAGCAGTGTCCAAGATTCCCTCATTTATTGGCAAGATGACCTGGCTGTGTGAGGTGGGCTGACAACTTCAGAAAGTTAAAATGCCTTTTCTTGTACCACCTTCAGAGGAACCCATAAGACTTTCTGGCACTCTCTGAAGCAATCTTGGGATGTGTCCAGATCATCAATAGTGAAAGAGACAGATAGAGTCACAGCTTTATCCAGTAAGGATGATGTAAATGGAAGTTGCAAAATGCTCTCATCAACTTCAAGAACAAAAAAGATAAGTAAGTTAAATTAATTTTCACTGGGAAAAAAATGTAGTTTGATAATACAGACAGAATGGAAAAATTCTTGTGGAACTCAGAGCAAAAAAATCAATATATTCAAAACCTATAAAGCTGCAGGCCAGGATAACATGTCTGAAGATTTACTCTAAGCAAAGATCAAAAAAGAACTTGAGCATTCTGCTATGATTTCTCAGTTAATTATGAGGAAAGGAATGCATGTCAGAAGAATAAAAAAAGGAACCATCATCAAAGAAATTGAATAAAAGGAAAAACTAAGAGTCCCAGGAAAATTGTGCAGAGTTACTCTGAAAATTATGTCCCATGCTTTCAACTGCAGCTTTCAAAAGCACCATGCTGAAGGGTTGGGGATTTTTTCCTATTTAATCAGAATTTTGTACTCTACAGTATTTATTTAATAAAGTAACAATGGATAGAACTCATCAAGGGCAACAAGCAGATTAAACAAAAGCAAAACAGTTTTCACTGTGGTGGTCTAGGGCAAATATTTAGAACAAAATCAACAAACAATAAAGTTGAGATCCTGCAGTTAGTGTTACTACCCACAACACTGCAAACAGTATAAATGAGAAGGTGGACTTACCTTTTCTATATTTCAAGAACACTGGACAAAGATTTCACTAAACAAACCCTATTCTGGCAAACCCAAAGCAGAAATAAAGAGAGGTCATTCCAGAGGGACCATTCAAAACACAGTAATGATTGATGCACCAACTTTACAAATCAACAGCTTTAAGAGATTAAAGGTACTGGCCCATCATAAAATTGTTTAGAAACTAATCTCTCCTGTAAGCACCCAACAGTGCAAGGGATGGACTGGATTTGATTGGACAAGACCTACGAAGAAAAAAAAAAAAAAGCAAAAGTTTTCAGTCTGTGTTACTGTATAGTAGACCTAACACTTCAGTGGAGATTTTTTCCAAGTTCAGATAGAGCTTTCCAAACTCAGCCATTTCAAATTTATTTATGTGAAAACCACCTGGGGAACACATTAGGAAAAAGTGAACAGTTTTCTTCCTTACAAGAACTCAAGAATAGATTTTAAAATACAGAAGACTCAATCTCTGGTCTGAGCAATGAGAGAAAATTTCATTTTTAAAAATTGGGGTTTTTTTCTCTGGCAGTTACTAGCAAGTGAAAAAAAAATTTTTTTTCCTCTATTTCTTTTCCACAACAATTACTACCATTGATCACTGTGTAGTGTGTAACAAACACACACATATACATAATATCTAATAAACTCCCTTGAAATATGTGTCATTAAGGACTTGAATTACTTTTTTGAAGTTTGGCTAACAGAACTCAGTGGACACTGGAATACAACGGCTTTGCCAAATTAAATATAGAGCAAGAACATACATAAATTATTCCCCTCTTCCCAGGACATATTCATTTAATTGATTGCCCAGATTTTACACTTTAACTATTTTACCATTCACCTGCTCTACTTACATTAGAATTTAGAAACAAAGAGACAGATAAGTGATCTGTGAAAAACTTTCTACTTTTTCATTACTCTTCAGCAATACAGTTTGAGCAGCTTATTAGAAAAACATAAGAAGGTAACAGATTCCAACCCCAGCAAGTTTCATTACTTTCTGACATTCAGTGCAGGTAACACAGCAATGCTTTTGGCAAGAACATATATGCCCCCTATAGGTTTAACATATTCTTACCATAGAAAGATGGAAATAAATGAAAAGATCATTAAGCATTTCGTAAATAGAAAATTCAGTACTAGAAAAATTATATTACATCTTTCAATAAATACATATTTACACACACACAAGCAAATATGAAATTATTCTTTAAAACTTAAAAACCCTCCCTGTTCAAACCATTTTTCTTTTAAACATAATTCTTTTAGCTTGCAAAACAGAGATTGCGCAAGTATTTCCTTTCCTGAGCAATGTTCCCTCCCCACCACTCTGTCCCTTTGTCCTACAGCTTTCCCAAGTACAACACTCAAAGGTTTTTAGAAAAATATAGTATTTTATTCTAAGTTTATAACCTATTATGCAAATTTATAGCACTACATACATGATTTGTAATAATGTTTCTACAATTACATTTGTATTTTAAAAGCTGGATCACAAATTTTACCTCCTTTAGCATTAATGACGTGCTGGTTTGGAAATATTATTAGGATTCTGTTCAGTATACTATTTTATGTATACAATTCGATCTACAAAGGTAGGTAAGACATAGGTGATAGATCTTGACCATTTAATGGCTTCCACATAACTAACTACAGCTGAGGAACCAGCATTTTGTTTGGTCTCTTAAAATTAGTAAATTCCAATTAGCCTTTAATTTTCTTTTTCAAAGGCCTGACTGTAGATCTGATTCCACATCTAAATTTCTACTGGTATATCACAGCAAGTGTGACAATTCTGAATAAAGACAAAGCATGGTTTTTTATGCCAAGGTACCTAATTCAGGCTTACCTCAGTGTTCTTAAATCCCACAGTTTGACGCCATCACCTGCAGCTGTGGTCATGAAAAGATTGTAAGCTTCAGGTTGCTGAGTGCTGAATGATGACCCCTGTAAAATATGAAGTCAGTTTTGGATAATTCTTCTCATGGCGCTAAATATTTATGGAATCACAGAATCATAGACTACCTCAAGTTGGAAGGGACCCATAGGGATCATTGAGTTCAACTCCCTGCTCCTTGCAGGACTACCTAAAACTAAACCATATGGCTAAGAGCATTGTGCAGATGCTCCTTGAACTCTGACAGGCAAGACTCAGCAACTGGATAGGGGACCACAACAGGCTGGCCTGTGTGTTCTGGAGTGAGTAAGGGTCTTGGTGGCACCAGCTGGAGTGGGGCCATAGATCAGACAGCCTGTTGGTCTGAGTGCCAGCAACTGGAGAGACTGGAGTGAGTGAAATTAAATGCCAGCAACTAAAGTCAGACCAAGTGTCTGTGGTCCAAAGAACTGGAGCAAGCAAGGGGCAAGTGAAGGTGCATGGCCAGGGTGTGATCACTAGCAAACTAGCGGACTAGTCAGCAAGTAGGTGGTTAGTTTTTTCAGATTGTAAATATAATTTTCATCTACATGAGAAACAAGAAAAGTACAAATATAAAACCTTAAGGAACTATCTTGACAAAGCCAAACTACATAATACAGACAAACAGAGTAGTCCAACATTTAATTATAAGCCATGTTTAGCCCTGGCATAAGTGGGCACACTTTCCATTGGCTTCAGTAGCAGTTGCATTAATTCATAACAGGACTGATTTTGGCTTTATACCTTTAAATAATTAAATCCACTCTACCTTTAAACCTCTGATTTTTTAACAACTACATTGGCAAATCCTGGCTTTTTTGCTGGCTACAAACGTCTTTCTCCAGGGAACTAAACATAAACAGTTAAAACTCTTTCTTTGCTTTCCCCACCATTCACATTCTTGATTTGGCTGAATACATCACAGAAACCTCAAGGCCATTTCCTGCAATCAATGCTTCATTGCCAGGAATCTTTTATTCCTTATGAAGTATAGCAGGAAAATTCTCCAGTATTTAGTCAATAGAATTCTCCAAACGGGGACAAAGGGGGGCACTCAGCATTAAAAAGAGTGTAGTAGCCTTCACTTACTTTGCTTAAAGCAGGTTTCCTTCCTAAACTAAGGATTACCACAGCCTGCTCTAACAAATGCACTATGCAACAAATTTCCCAAAGTCTACACATTCTCACATTAGCTTTGTATAACTATCAAAAAGAGTAATTGTAAATGAGAAAGACAGTAGTTGTCCAAAGGACAGTATTCATTAAAAGTTACAGAGCACTTTTTCTTTTTGTGTTTTTGAAACTTTTACTCATGATCTGTTTCTTCAGTCCGTAATGATTGCAGAGACCAATACAAGAAGTTCTACAGAGACATAAGCATTTACTTTATGCACTACTCCTTTACTTCAAAATACAGTAACAGTAATAAGCGTAAGAAGCGTAATCCCTTTGTTCCTGCCCTGCCCTGACATTTTGTCAGTAATATACTTTGCTAATATAAAGCTATACTTGTATCTTCAAACTACATTTGCTACTGAATATTGATGTAGAAGACAAGAAAATGTATACTACATGGGATAATATGCAAGCTGAATTTTTTTTATCCCTTTGTGGGTTTACAGTTCATTAATTGATGATAATCTATAATTTATGAGAATCTAATGCAAAAAGTAGCATATTCCAACACACTTTTCAAACTATATTCTTTCATTCTGACAGACAAATCGCTTGCCCATGCCCCATCATCTTCCTCATCTACCACTGTAACCCCTTCTCAGCTTCTCTCTAGGCTATATTGCAACTTTCACTACATTGCAATTTCCACAGAAAATTTGGCCCCAAACAAGGACATGGTTTAACAGAATCCCTATCCCATTCACTAATTCCACATGAATACCATTGATAACATCCAAACAGTGCAGGGGGTTTATGCTAAAGGCATCAATCAATAGATGTCTCAGAAAACACTACAAGTCTAACAGGCAAGCACAGACCTTCAGACAGGTTTGTCACTATGGCTAGAAAAAAAGGTAGCAGACTGAAACATCTGAGTTTCCTCTTATGTTTTTCAGCCTTCATGTCATATACATTTCCTAATTAATGGACCAACAAATTCTGAAACAAAAAGGCCTGGGCAGAAAGCTACAAACTTTGTTGTATTTCTGAAAATGAATGTAATCTATAACTTTGCTAGCAGAACATGTTACCATCCAAATATTTCTGGTTGATACTGATAGATTCCTGTTCAAATAATATGTTTTGCAGCACTACAAATGTCTTGCTAACACTAAAGATCTGAATCTCTGTTGTTTGATCTCAAATTGCATCTATTTCTGTATCTCAGAGCTTCCTGAACTCTAAGACAGGAATACAATTTTGATATTTCAATCAATTCATTTTACTACGTTTCTTAAAATTTAGTATGTAAAGCAATGGAACCATGAAAAGTCACATAATACTTTGGTAATCATTGATAATCAATTTTCATTAGGTGATCTTACGTATCAAACCCAAATCGTCAAGTTGGAAATCACTGGTTGAATAAAACAACTTACAGAAGTGTAAATCTATTATTATGAGCTTAGGATGTTTGCCTTGTCAGGCTTAACGGTGGCTAAGGACTACTTATCAGAGTAAGGTGAAGTTACTACAGCCAGAAGAGCAACATTTGCTCATTGCCTCAGGAGCTTAATGACATCACTTGAGCTAAAATATCATAAGCAGTTCTGAGAGTAGGGTCTGGAAACCAGACACAGGTTCAGGGAAAAGAGTGGAGGGTCCCTCAGCACTGTCACTGAAAAGCAGGAAATTTCCACCAGTTTCCTCAGGCTGGAGAACAATGGAGGAGAACAGTGAACCTCTTTCCCCCAACGCCTAAGCAAACACTCTGAAAAGTAAGCTATTACATGAACCTGCAGCAGTATCACCACCACATCTCCACAGGACCATGTATTTAGCTCAGTTTCTTGATGACATGATGCTTATGCAACTGTACTGTATGCTGATTCCCATTCAGAATTATTTTAACCTGCTTCACTATTTAAAACTGATCTGACAGAGATAAGAGTCTTATGATAAATACATTTCCACAAAATACATGTAAATGAGTAATTAGAAGACAGAAATTCAAAACAGCACAGCCATTAAGAAAAGTTATTTTGTTTGACAAGCCATTAACCAGCCAACACAAGAGTAATTTAGAACAGACATGCAGTATGGCATGCCTCTTGGCCAACTAGCAATAAGGACATGACAAGAAGATATGGGTGTGATAGGGGAGGAGTGTTTAGGTAACATAGGGAACAAAACTGAAAGCGCATGTGGTGGGGAGGTAAAGGTTATAAAGAACACAACAGTCAAATCAAGTTATTGTGGTGGATTTGGAAGGTGATATTTAAGGACACAGGCTTAAAATCCTTTAGAAAGGATGCTTAATTAGTTTTGTTACTGCTGGAAGAACCTGTACACAAAGAAAGACAAGCTTTGTATAGTCATTATACGGTATGCCCCAAGCACTTCAGGGAAATTTGGTGCCAAAATTCTTTTTAAGCAAAGAAAAGTACACTGAGGTTTGCAATAATAAACATTAACATGCTTAATTAAATCAAGATTGTAGAGGTTTTAAGCAAGCAGTATAAGGCCCAAAGTTCTGCAAGCAATTTAATTGTGTAAGTTTTAATCATATATGGAGCTTCAAGAGCTAAGCATGTCTTTTGTGGTTCTTTATATATCAAATCCTAAATAACTGTACTAATCTAAAGTAGATGACAAATGGAAAATACTGTGCCACAAGTCATACAAATATATAAACAAAAATCTGGTAGTAAGCACACTACCCAGAACAACTTCTTCCCTGGGTGAGTTGTTTTCTGTTACAATTTTGCATTTGTCACAGACCCTAAGTCTAGCTTCAGAATATCTCCCATCTGAGACATGATTGTTGCATTCTTGCTGATTTCCTTTCTCTGATGTTGACAAAAATTCACAATACAAAATACTGTTCTGTAGAATATAAGGAAAGACCTGAAGAAAATACAATCAAGCCACTGAAATACTACAGATGGAAAGGTGTAGTGCTAAAATATGTATATATCTATTATCATACATATATATACAGTGTGTATATATAGACACGTGTTACTTTCAACCACCGTTGCAATTTAAGGTTTTCAAATCAAATAGGGTACTATTAAGACATTTGGCTATTCCTACAGTTAACAAAGAAGGAAAGGTTAAGGACAGCAATATATACTTTCCATCATGACGCAATGATAGTGTGCAGATATATTTTCACTGTATTCATTATTCTGCATCTCACTATAAACATGTAACAACGTAGGACTGCTTCTTACTTTGTGCAAATATGGAAGCTACTGTCTAAAGATTTACCAGCCAAGTTTTTTTTTCCTTACATTTCTCTCTGCTCTACTTTTTCGCCAGCTTCCTTGCAATTCTTATAAATTTTTCAGTATACTTTTGAATTTTTTATTGCTGAAGTAATCCTTTGCATTAAAAGCTGAGTTTAAAATGGGAAGACTTTCTAACTGTGCTACTGCATTTAATTTAAAGATGTTTAGAATTATTCTCTGTACTAAAGCAGAAGTCCCAGCCTGCTAAGACACTGAGGTTCAAGGGGTTGAGAAGGGACAACATAATCAGGGCAAAGGAGCTCTGGGAACAACAGTAAACTACATGGTTGTGGGTGACTGGAACAGTAGCAGGGAAGGGAGAGGAGGCGGATTCTACTAAAGTAAGGAAATTAAGTAAGAGAAGGAGGAGAAAGGGAAGTGGTTTTAGGGAGGAGAAGTAACAACTCATAGCTGCAGAGGCAGAGCACCTGTAATGACAGAGAGATACAGCCCAGCTTCAACTGGTGAAATAGATTTGTAAATGTAAACTGGCCACATGGCACAGGATCAGAAGAGCAGGCTTCAGGCATAGGTTGGTTGTTCTGGAGCTCCAGCAAACTGCCAGGAAGCTTGAAGGAGTACAGTCATCACCGAGGTTGCCAGTGAGAAGGGGAGAATAGTGACAAAATAAAAGACAAGCTGGAAGCCCCATCTGGTTGCTGCCACTGTTCTTGTCTCCAGGGAAGAGGGAGAAGAGTCAGTAAGAATGGGCAGAACCACCACAAGATTTACACCTCACCTGAAAAGAAGGACCGCTGCAGCAACTTGCTAGCTTACAATAGCAAGCATTCCATGTACTTGTTCTATATATGTACGGTCTATGAGTATGTACTCTGTGAAATATTGCAGATGAACGTAAAAGTGTTAACAAGAACAGAGATTACCTTCCATAATTCAAGCTTCAGATAAGGGACAAGTTTTCATCAACTGTACTTACATCTGCACAGAGGCTGCAGACTGAATATCTCAGGCAAGGATACAGTCTGATTTTACAACCTAATTATAGCCAGGAAGACTCAAAACTCTACTAAAGACACACTACTAAACAATACTAAAGAAAGATAAGCTGTGGCAAGTAATGATTCAGTAGGGTGGTTTATCATCTTCAGCATACCATTACTGGATCAAGGCTTCATCACACTGATAACTGCCACTGCAACAAGGGATGTGCTGTACTCTGCTAAACATAAAGTGATGGTTCTGACCACCTATGGTTATTAGAGAATTGGGGGTGGGGGGCGTGAACTAAATTATTTTAGCCAGTATATTTTGGGCAGATTTCAAGAGGAGCAACTATAAAGAACTCTACTTTGGCTTCATTGCAATTACTGCAGATTTTGATAAGCAAAAAAAAAGGGTTTCTTGATTCTTGAGAGACAGAATACTTTCACATTAATTTTATTAAATAAGTGACAGATTAGATTCAACTGATACTTAGATGTTTGAATGTTCATCTGAACATTTCCCTATAGTGCATCCTAAATTTCTGTAGTGTCATGCAGATAATCTGTATCTTTGCAGAAACACTGATTTAGCAGCAGCTTATATGCACTTACAAGTAATATGACAGGTTCGTTTAATTTTCATTCCCAGTATATGGTTCTTGATTAATAACTCACACAGGCATAGCGATACTTATTATCTTCTAAATATATTTTCACTTTTAGAGTACTAAAATTCTAAAAGGAAACAGGAATTATAGACTCCCATTAAGATGGGTGTCCCATCCCACCATCTTCTAAGAGGTATACTTTATAACTTTATACTGCAGGCTGAGATGAATTTCACACATTGCCAGTTCTTGCAAACAGTCTGTAGAACAGACCAAAAGAACAATTTAAAATTTAAGTCATTACATTGCAAATTATATATACTTGCTTACAGCTGCTGCTATACAAAACCAGAAATAACAGAATGTCATGCTGTTCACTTAATTTTCTAGAATATCCTACGTATTTAATAATTTGCTAACAGGTTTCTCCCACACTTAATTAGAACTTAGCTTCCTTAGTGTTTTACAAGGCCTTCCAAATAGATTTTTTTTATTATTACTTCTTTAAAGAATAAATCTCTTGATTGTCCCCACTTACTAGTGTCCAGGTAGCATCACAAAGCATTCTTGGAACATGGGAACTGATCTGCATGAACCTAAACCAGTAAATGCACTTCAGTATATATATTGCAGTCACTAATGAGCATTCAGTCCACAAGACGAGACTAGGGCTAGTCCAAAGGAAAGCCTTCATAAGTTTTGGTGTGCAGGCACTGGATCTTCAGCATCAACAGTTTCACTCCACAGATTTCCTTCTATTGTGCCACGCTTCATCACTAGCTAACCTTAGATTACAATGTGTTTCACACTTTAAACAGGATGCAATTCACACACACCGCATTCTGCACGTTTTTATAAGTCTATAAAATATTTTAGCATATTTTCTTAATGTAAATGCACTGAGTTATACTTACTCTAACAGCTTTAGACTATACAACTGTAACTAAATAGTTGATGTGTAATTTTCCTATTGACTTATCTAAAGCATTAATTTTATGTAACTGAAAAAATAGAGAACCTTGATCTATAATTTCCCCCCAGATGGTCAATTTTCTTTGCTATACCACATACATCTAGGTTTTTTCCCAAGTGAATACTTGCCCACAGCTTTAAAGTTTTTCTTGATTAAATAACCTGAAGACGCTAAGCTGACCAAGCAAAAAGAAAAGCCAGAACTTTAAGCCTATATGTGTTACAAATAGTACTGAAATAGTTAGCATGATTTTAAGTGTTTTACCAGATCACATCTCTCAGGAAAACCCACAAAGATTTATACAAGAGTAGTAATAAGGAACTATTTTAAACCCACAGAATCAAGGACTTTCCAACCGGGAGTGAAGAACCATACTCAACCAAACCTAACATGGTAGGCATTCCAGCATGTATGGTATCATAAGACCTCCAAACATTCAAATCAATCTTCAGGTAAAAACAAAAAAGAGCAAGGATGGGGGATTTTAAGTCATCTATTCTATTGCAGTACTGAGCAATTTTTTATTTTTTTTTTTATTGGTTGCTGTTTCTGAAGTTTCAGGATAAATCAGACAGTTCAGATTCA